TATAAACAAATCTTACATTCATATCTGTAATGTGTCACTGAATTAATTTACTTGATTAGTCAACATTATCATTTTTTCTAAAAATTAATATATTTATTTAATGATACCAAGGCATTTACAAATTGAATGATTCTTTTAGTATATTTTTTCATAAATTGTTCAGTAGAGGTGAATTAACTCAGAAATGAAGGTATTAGTTTTGTGTCTATTTCCATTTATTTAGCCCTCTAGGGGTCCATCATTTGTGAGACAGACTATAAGAAGTAATATTAACAAAGCCTGGATTCATGCTTCCCCAAATTGAATAAGTTTGCCAATCAGCCGGGGAACTTATCAAAATGCAAAATCAATTCATTAGATCTAGAAACAGGCCTGAAATTCTGCACTTCTTACAAGCACCCATGAACCAGTGCTGTTGATTCATGAACCACACGTTAAGTAATGTTTCTATGTAAAGATTCTTCTGAGATCTTAGTCTAGATTTGAAGACAATGGACGTAGTTCTAAGGGAACAGATGAAGGGCAATATATAACTTTGGTCAAAAGAATAGTATCAAACACTCATCTGGTAAACTAAAATTAGCTTAAATTTAGCTATAACTTTATGCACAGAAGATAGTGTTATATTCCAGGCAGCCATGCAGTGAGTAGTTTTGCACAACTTCCTCTCAGTTCAGTGTGAATTCTTACAGTGCTTTGCACAGGACAATGCTGTACTCTTTGCTTCTACGTTCAGGGTTTCTCTGGTTACTGCAGCGTGGGATTCTGAGGGAACATGTTCAGCACCCTTGAGTATGAAACCAGTGGAACTAATGCTGTAGATAGAGAACTTCTGGAGAATAAAGAACAAGAGTTCATGGATATATACTTCTCTCATTCTATCTCCAAGTACCGATCCAAGCAGTAGTCACCCATAGCAGTGGGCAGCTTGAAAATGCATCTTTCACTGTATCCTTCTCTGTTCCTGCATCTCTCCTTCATCCCTCACTCCAGCCTCTGGTATCACATTTCTCCATAAAAGACTTGTAAACAAACTTTTGCCTCGGTATTGCTTTCTCTTGAGCTTAGGCTGAGAGGTTAAATGTTTTTTTTTTTTTTTTTTTTTTTTNAGAATAGTATCAAACACTCATCTGGTAAACTAAAATTAGCTTAAATTTAGCTATAACTTTACGCACAGAAGATAGTGTTATGTCACCAAACACCTGTTGTGCACACTTCTAAATAAATGGCCTCAATTTTCTTTCTAATTCCAGGCAGCCATGCAGTGAGTAGTTTTGCACAACTTCCTCTCAGTTCAGTGTGAATTCTTACAGTGCTTTGCACAGGACAATGCTGTACTCTTTGCTTCTACGTTCAGGGTTTCTCTGGTTACTGCAGCGTGGGATTCTGAGGGAACATGTTCAGCACCCTTGAGTATGAAACCAGTGGAACTAATGCTGTAGATAGAGAACTTCTGGAGAATAAAGAACAAGAGTTCATGGATATATACTTCTCTCATTCTATCTCCAAGTACCGATCCAAGCAGTAGTCACCCATAGCAGTGGGCAGCTTGAAAATGCATCTTTCACTGTATCCTTCTCTGTTCCTGCATCTCTCCTTCATCCCTCACTCCAGCCTCTGGTATCACATTTCTCCATAAAAGACTTGTAAACAAACTTTTGCCTCGGTATTGCTTTCTCTTGAGCTTAGGCTGAGAGGTTAAATGTTGTTTTTTTTTTTTTTTTGTCCAGGATAAGAAGATCACTTATCTAGGTTATTTGCCTAGATAAACATAGGAGATCAATATTTCTAACAAAATTGTATCCAGAGTAAAGGGTATTGTATTACACAGTAAATCCCGTTAAACACATCACATTTAATTAGTTAAAAAATAAATAATTAATTACAATTGCACTATTTTCTTAGAGTATTGGTTTTGGTAGTGTTTTAAATTTAATCTCTTTTAGCACTGAGACTCTTAACCACGCTGACTTTGAAATAAACCTTTCCTTTATAACGTCTTTAAGCATTTCATTTTCACATGCCTTGTAGTTTATTTTATGCTTTCTGGCATCGAATTTACCCCCCCTTTTTTATCATACGAGTACCATTACCATTCTACTTTAGTTATTATGTTTGATAGCACTAACATTGTCATTTTTCCTTCTCAATTACATTTATTTATTTTGATTGTAAACTTAATCATACTGTATGCTTAAAAGAAAGAAACAAATACTAAAACAAAGAAAAGAAAACTGCTGAATAGTGTTTATGTCTAGTTAAAATACATGAACAGACATCTCCTTTACATTGATACATATTCAATGAATGTATGTTCTTGTTAAAATAGATTAAAGTCAATTTTTCATTTGTTTTATATCTATATTTTTCTATTACCATTGTGTACATATTCTGTCATAGATTGTCAGTTTATTGTTAACAATTTACTAGATAACTGAGAGCTTTAAATAAGGTTGAAGTTGCATCCACCTTTTCATGCATGCAATTGGTTACCATCTAGTAATTTTCATGTCCTTCTGCTGACACAAACTATTTCTTGATGTTAGTTTTCTTTCCCTTAGCTGTATATCAGACTTTGTACAGATCATGTTTGTGTCCATCAAATAAAATGTNCTGAGAGCTTTAAATAAGGTTGAAGTTGCATCCACCTTTTCATGCATGCAATTGGTTACCATCTAGTAATTTTCATGTCCTTCTGCTGACACAAACTATTTCTTGATGTTAGTTTTCTTTCCCTTAGCTGTATATCAGACTTTGTACAGATCATGTTTGTGTCCATCAAATAAAATGTAAAATGTAGCATCTTTGTAAATTTTCCACTTGCATAAAGTAGTACCATCCATCATACATAATGGAATCTTTTCAAGCACTTAAACACACTGTATTTAAGTAAACACAGTAAACACAAATAAAAACAGAAATGATTTGAATATACACTCCATTAAGAGCACACAGTGAAAATGTTTAGCAACATTGCATAATCATAACATTTTACTGAAATAATAGCCATAGGTGCCAAAAATAATTTCTTTTACATACTTGTGATGATTAATTTTAGGTGTCAGCTTGACTGGATTAGAAGATACCCAGATAGCTGGTAAAGAATTATTTCTGGGTATGTTTGTGAAGGTGGAAGAAGAGATTAGAGTTTGAATCCATGAACTGGATAATAAAGATCCATCCTCATCTGATGTGAGCAGACACCATCCTATCCACTGAGGGACTGAATAAAACAAAAAGGCCCAGGAAAGGTGAATTTTTTTCTCTTTTGGAGTTGGGACACCCTTCATCTCCTGTACTTGGACATCAGAATCCCACATTCGCAGGCTTTGGGGTTTGGCCTGAGAGTCGCACTGTTAGCATCCCTTGTTCTGAGGCCTTAGGATTTGGACTGAGCCACACTACCAGCTTTCCTGGGTCTCCAGCTTGCAGATGGCATATCATGAGACTTGTCCATCTCCATAGTGGCATGAGACGATTACCTTAATATATTTCTTCTCATCTATATACCTACCTACCTACCTACCTACGTATCTGTCTGTCTCCTACTGGTTCTGTCTCTCTGGAGGAATCTGACTAATACACATATTCATTCTTGAATTTTCATGTGTTATACTAGACTTTGGTTATTTTTTAGCCTTAATGCTGAGAATAGCATGGAGCTAGGCATCAAAAATTATGTTTAGTCATCCAGTGTCCTTGGAGGGCATTTACAAAATCGATATGTATTTACCTTCTAAATTATTTAATTTAGGTTCTAAGCTTAGCTACTTGTTGACTTAGAGACTCAATTTCTAATGCCCTTAATGTAATTATAGCACTGGGGACCTGAATCCCTTATATCAGCTAAAAAATCACACATAAAGTTAGTCTGTAAACAAAATTCTCACAACAGTGAAAAGTCTCAAGAAAATCAAATGGCAAATTAGTGTATATGGTTCAAATAAGTCAAATGAAGATAAAGAAATAGCATTACATGAAAGAAGAATATATATATATATTTATATATATATATATATATACAAATTTAAAAATATAAAAAATGATACAATGGATCATACAAATGAAAGCTTACTTATTACAATTAAAATGTTAATACTAGGGTACTTCAAAAAGTTTCAGGAAAAATCGAATTAAAATATAACACAAATCCTATGATGAAATTTTTGAAGACCCATCATAGCATAAGTTCTAGTGTGGAAAAAGTATAAGAGAATATAGTGAATAAGCAAAATTTGAAGAGATCACTTTGGAGAAATAATTACTGATCAGGTGTGAAGAAAATCATAAATGCACAGAAGGAATAAGTTCTGAATATAAAGAGAAAATAAAAATAAATCCATATTTAGACAGAAGAAAATTACAGAACATTAGGAATAGAGAAACATTGGTTAAAGTTACCAAAGAAAACCATCAGATTATCCAAGAAAATGAATGACATTCTGACAGTTGAATTGGTGTTAGGGACAATACAATTCAAAATAAAGTTATATCTTCAAAATGTTGAAGCAAAACTCTGCTATACTACAATCCCTATTCAGCTATACCAAAATTTAATAGTGATAGTCAAAAAAAAGAATTATTTTAGTATCAGAAATACTAATAGTTAAAAATCCTGGCATCCTCCTTAAAATTTTATCCAGGGATTTAGCTGGTCAAGAAACATACAACACGAGAAGACTTAACATAAAAAGTAATTGTCATCTCCAAAATAGATTTGTTTGTGTCTACACATGCATATACATACTAACATAATTAATTTCATTATACATATTAATTTTTAAATGATACATAAATTTAGTTCTAGGTTTCTGAAGATGAAATTTGCATTTAGGAGACTAATGTAATAAAAGTATGGATATTTATAGATTCTTAAATTGATTTTATTGTTTTAAATGGCTAAATATAGCTTTTTTAATCTTTAAATATAATAAATACAGAACATTAAGTAAAATTCGGAAATTTAAAGCTAGTCAAATTATATTTTTTAAGAGGATTACAGGTCAATTTTGATTGAAATGAAATAATAAATAAACAAATAATTAAAATCAACATTTACTCAGGCATAACAACTAAAAATGCTATCCTAGAAATCTGGGAAGAGATATGGATGTGCTTAACCTGATAAAAACACATCTTCCAGAAATTTATAATCAGCTTTTTTCCATGTAGAAATTTCCCAATTTGTGACTGAAGCAAACTAGGCATGCCCTCTATAATTGCTTCTGTTCAGCAGAGTACACAGGGATCAATTCAATGTCATCATCCATATGAATAAAACAAAATCATAAGAATAGAAAAAAAAAAGGAAATACCATTGCTTTTATTTAGAGATAATATTATTGTATGCCAAAAAACAAAGTCAGAAACTGTATTGATCAACTAAGAACTTGTACTCAATATGGTTTCTGCATCCTAGATGAACATATAAAAATCTAACTATAGGTCATATATAAATGGAAATATAACTTGGTATACAATCTAGTCACAAAACTAGAAAACACATAACATATAGATGAACCCATCTAAGTATATATGTTATATTTATTAAGTAAAAATAAGACATTTTTAATAACATAAAAGGCCTGAATTAATGTAAGTATATACAGTAAGATATTCATGGATAGAGGAATTAAAAATGATAAGGACATCAATCTTCCCTAAATTAATCTGTAAAGTTTTGCTATATCAGCAAAATTTCATACAAACTTGACATAGTATTCCTGAAATTTACATAGAAAAGTAAAAGGCGAATAAATATTGATACGTTTAATGAAAATATTTTGTGAGGTATTTGCTGCCAAAAAGTATCAAAAATTAATATAATACTGTATTAAATAAAAGGTTGTAGTACTAGTGAAAGTATAGAATAGGTCAAATAAAAAATAGAAAACATAGAAATAGGCTCAATACCATAATAGAATCATGATATATTATTGTGCGGACATGATGATGTATAATGTCTAGATAGACTTTCCAATTGATATTGCTGAGGCAATTGTTTATCATATGGAGAAAAATAAAATGTAAGGTGCCTACCTTATTCTATACACTCAGAGAAGTAATTAGATAAGAAGATATAAATGTATTTTATGTATTTATATATAGGCATAAAGTATATAAATATAACATTGTTTTATATATATATATAAAATCTTGTACTTTATATACACCTAAAATATTATATATGTGTATATATTATTTTGTACAAATCAGTGTTCAGTCGAGGAAACAAAATCCACACCAGTTATTTTGATAGATGGGGATTTAAGATGAATATAGTAACTGATTTACAAAGCTATGTAGAAAAGTTAAAAGGGTATACAGGGTAGAATGAGACAAACTAGCTATTAATACCAGCAAAAAAATATTGGAAGGGAAAATGGAGGAGTTAATGAAACCAGATATAAAATTTGGAGTTGCCACCTGCAGAAAGAATTGCAGTGGGGCTGCCAGTGGGAACTAGGACCAAGAAAAGAAGCTACCTTGGGGGGTTGGAGCTACAGGGGGGATGCAGCTCTTAGGTCACCAGAAGCTGAGGGGAGAAATAAAATGACTTCTCCAGCCCACCTGCTGTCCAATCTTCCCTATATTTCTGGAAGAAAATACGATGTATCACACCAACAAAATGAAGGACAAAAAACATACAGTTATTTAACAGACACAGAAAAAGCAATTGATAAAATTCAACATCTCTTTATGATAAAAACTCTCACCAAATTAGATACTTAAGGCACATAACTCAACACAATAAAGGCCATATATGAAAAATCCACAGCTAACATCATCCTGAATGGGGAAAAGCTGAAAGCTTTTCCTTTAAGAACAGGAACAAGACAACGATGCCCACTCTCACCACTCCTACTCAGCGTAGTACTGGAAATTCTAGCCAGAGCAATCAGGCAAGAGAAAAATTTAAAAGGCATCCAAGTTGGAAAGAAGGAAGTCAAATTGTTCCTGTTTGCGGATGGCATGATTTTCTTTTAGAAAAACCTAATGACTTCATCAAAAAACTCCTAGAAATAATAAACAAATTCAGTTAAATTGCATGATACAAGTCAACATACAAAAATCAGTAGTGTTTCTATATACCAACAACAAACCAGCTGAAAAAGAAATTTAGAAAATAATTGCATGTACAATTGCTTAAAAAAATACAACCTAGGAATAAGTTTAACCAAGATCTCTGCAAGGAAAACTATAAAACATAAGAAGTGTTTACTCTTCAATATCTTATGATATGAAAATGTCCCTAAAGTATAACACATACACGAAAAATGGAAATACATTCCATGTTCATGAATTGGAAGAATCAATCTTATTAAAATGACTGGAATACCCAAAGTGATCTACAGATTCAATGCAATCCTCATCGAACTACCAATGACATTTCTCATAAAAAAACAAAAACACAATCTGAAAAGTCATATGGAACTACAAAAGACCCCAAATAGCCCAAGCAATTCTGAGAAAAAAAAAAAAAAAAAAAAACTGG